GGAGAAGAGAGCGCCGAGCACAGCAGGATCGTCGGCGCGAGCCCGGGGACGCGCCGACGCTGAGGAAGGACCAGCCGAGCGAGGACAGCGCTAGAGTGAAGAACACACACTGGGAGCTCAAGCAAGGCCAACGCGATCCCAATGTCTTAAGAGACTTTCTTTTGCTGAAGTAACGGAGAGTTGGGAGGTTTCTTGCCCCTTTCTTCTAAGTTACTTCCTACCCCTGCCACGTCATCACGTGACTTTTAGTCCCAAGACCCTGTTCCCTGCCCTGCTTCAATCCTTTCACTTCGCCTTTTATCTTTTCTGGCTGTCCCTCATTTTGGTTTTGCACAGCGGCCGCATACTTAGCTATCTGTTCTACCTCAGGGCAGCAGTGACTTCCCATGACAGGCTAGAGCGCACCAGAAGATCAGGATACTAGATTGAGGTAGCCTACCCCATCTTTTGACTATCCTGTTTTCCTCTTCCTCATCAGTTAACATTCATTACTGAAAGGAAAATAATAAATGAAACAACCAACAAGAACCCTCCAAACACTTACAAGCAGGGCACGGGATTTTAGCCTTAAATAATAACCCAAAATTAACTGTCATGCATTCAGGTTTTCAAGCCAAAAATTGGTATACCTAACTACTAATTCACCATTTGTTTCCTTTATTATATAGTTCACAGTGAAAGCAATTATTCTTTAAAATCATACCTAACGATGATTTTATGAAAAAGCTTACTACTGCAATTTTCTTGTATTAAATCCTCTTAGCGGTAGTCCTGTACAAACAACAATGAACGAAAAGGATACTGAACGTCTTGCTTCAGAAAACGTCCGCTTGACCTCCCAAAAGGTTTTTTATAGTGTTATCTCTTAACTTTCTTTCTCAAACGCCTCCACATGCATATACGTATTTAGAAAAGGAGAGCCACTGCAGCTAAAACAACTTTCCCTTCTGTATAAAGCCCTAAAACCTATATTTCTGTTTATTAGCAAAAACATCATAGGTACTAATGGTTACCATTTTCCTCCTCCCTGTGACATTCCAGGGCTTAATAGTTTAAGTTGTAAAAATACGCTCCAATTATACAGTCTTCCGCAGAAGCTAAATCCGCTACGTTGAAGAATTATGTCTCCCCTGCATAACACAAACAAAACAACATGCAGATCAGGCCCTAGTAAACTACATACACTCAGGATTACTTTCCTGGCCCCATGTCATCTGGTCTGTGCGAGCGCGTGGAGCCCGACCAGGAAACGTTTGGGAGAGCGCTCGGGTGCCGGGGCCAAGAACGTGCCAGGGAGCACGCTAGCAATTTAGCAATCGGACACCCCTGAGGATCGCATTCCAGCGGAGGCGGACGCGCCGGCCCCCGCCGCTCTGCTTGCAGTGCCAGCACACCACGCCGTACGCGGGCAACAGCGCTCCTACAAACGCCTGCTTAGCAGCCTAATTTTTTGTGGCAAAAGCTTGTGTTACCAAATAAGAGCTATGCTACAAAAATCTTTTCTCTTGATGAATAAAAATTTTGCTCCTGCCAGAGTCCTTTCTTTTTTTAAAAACTAAATCTGTCTATTAGTCCACCCTCTTAATCTGCCCTTTCCTTATAGGAAACCAATAATATTTCCATTTTAGTAATGAGAAATAGCAACAACATTTTTAACTAATTAAACAAAGTGAAAAGTCCTAAATAAATGAATATTAAAGAATAAATGCAGCTGTTACTATCACATAAAATCCAACATAGCAAGTGGCAGCTCTTGGCATTCTAAATGACCAATTTATCTCACTCATAAAGTTTGTACTGACAGTGTACAATATGGAAAATTTTGAGTTCTCTACTTACTTATTCAGACAGAGAAAGGAAACATTTGGGTACCTAAACTCATTGCAAGTTTGCGAAAAATGTGATATAAAATAAATGAGGGAATACATTCGTAAAGGTATTAATAAATGCTCAGAGTAAGAAAATCACATAATAGGATATATAGTGAATTATACAGCTTCCAAATATATTGAACTTAAACAAGCCACTTTTAAGAAAATTCAATTAAAGAAGTTTCATATCGTCCTCTATTCCAAATGCAGCAATGCCTGTTAGAGAAAGAACTTCTTTTACTCAGAGCCGGTACACTGGAATTAAAATATAATGTTTTAAAAAATATATTAGGTGTAGTTTTGATTATGGGGTGTAGCGGGGCTTATTGTCAGAAAACAACATTATATAAGGGGAAGAATTAAGGCTTTAGATTTCATTATTTTTACAAAATATTACACGTGTACTTTTAAATTAGTATTCCTCTCTAAAAAATTTAATCCAAATCTCTTTTTGCACATGTTTGACCTTTGACAAAAGGTTCTGTTGATTCATTCAAATAAGACAAAATCATGAACCATTCGAAATCAAGCTGATTAAAAGCAGGGCTGACAGCATACTGTCAGGTACTACTGTCACATACCTCAAAAGATGACAGCCTATTTATCAAGTTATGGATCTTCAACACCAAAAGAAATCCCCTAATTACTGTATTGAGCATATACAGGAAATTGCTTTTCATTTGTTATTTCTAATTCATGTCACAAAATCTGGTCACATGAAGACCTTATATTAAGATCTTTAATAAAAAAAAGGGAAAACCAAAAAATAACGTGTTAAACCATAGCTTCATTCATAGCCATTTCTCTCTACATATGCATAATATTAGCCAACTCTATCTTATGAATATACAAATACTTTAGAGTGTGACAATTCCTTTAAAAACGTTTCTCTTGTGGCATTATATATGTATGCAACGGACAAATCAGGACATTAGCAAAGACCTCTATATGTCGCACACACATCTCACTGAAATACTGGAATTCCAAGACTAATTAGATTTCAAATCTAATGTTAAAACTACAAGTATAGATTCCATGTTTACAGGTTATGCAAGTTTTTTATTATATGCAGTCTTCTGTGAATTAATTACAGTGCACTTAAAAAAGAATACAAAAGCTTTCAAATTAATAACTGTAAAGAAACTACTTCATAAAAGCAATGACAGACAAAAATGTTCAGATCTTTGGTATTCATCTTCCTGGCTGTAAGACTGAAACAATAGCTTTAAGCATCTGTAAAAAAACTAATGCTACAGATAGATAGCAAAGAAATCAAAACAAAAATGAAACTGAAGCTCATTTGCTAGCTACAACAGTGAGATTTCCAACACGTAACATGAGGAAACACACATAGTTTCCAACTTTAACAGTTGGAATCACCAACATACTTCCCAAATAAGGGCATCTGCAAAATCTTGAACTAATAAAAAGGAGGTAACTTAGTTTACCTCGGACACTTTTTTGTTCCATTATTAAAAAACGCTTGAGAAGGGAACTTATCATTATGCAAATGTAAAATTTTAGTTACAATGTGCAATCTCATATTTTGTTTACAATTCTTTGCTGATTTTGATAGATGTCAATGCAAAAATAGGTTATACAGCATATTCCTCTCAGATGACAAAGAAAACATTAAATAATACACTCACTCGTTACTGTTGAGGCTGAAGAAGAGTACCACCAAGCTAGGCTAATCAAGCGTTATTTATACTAACCTTAACTAATTCTGTGACATGAACACTACGTGAAAATTAGTGTAAGTCAAGTAAAACAAAGAAAACTCACCAAAATTCCAAAAGAAAGGACAAGCAGCTATTTTTCTCCAAAAATATTACATATAAGGATAGATAAAGGCAAAAGTATCAGATTTAACGCTAGCAAAATAGAACAATGCGCTTAAACTCAAGTTTAAAAGGTAAGAATTTGCATTAGCCTATCATACCAAAAGCATCTGATAGATATAAGTATTTTCAATTCAAAGTGTATCTTTTAGCTGCAGAAAAGAAAAAAGCGATTTGGATAAATTTAACACAGTCTTATGATATACTGATGTCTGAAACATATCGTTGACGCATTAATGACTTCTATTATCCATCTTCATTAACAAGCAAAATACTGCAACATTTGTCAGTGAAATTAAATTAAATCTTGAATTTTTATTAGTAGTGAAAGTAAGTACCTCATTACTGCTTTTCAAGATAGTACTTCAGATATTAATTTAGGACATGAAAGATCTTGAATTTAATTCTCTGTTACCTCAGATACATTTCCTCAGTGCAAATTAAGCAAAATCCCCTCAACAGCAAAATGGAAGTATCTTAAAAACTGAAAGGCTCTTGCATGCTGAGCGTGTGGACCATAAAAAACCAACCCCGCAACGTAGATACTTTTAAAAGCTCCAGTGATAACTATTTAAAGTTGAAATTCTTCCTCCGTACGTGAATGTAAGCTGTACAGCAATAAAATCTGCACTATTTTAATTTGATAAAATAAAAGGAAGTGGTGGCTTTGATTTGAGAAGAATCAACAGGAACAACGCAA